CTGAAGAACATCGCTGGAAGTGACAAAGAGTCTAAGCTAGGTGAGGTAACCCCCGATACCTTGATCAGTGCTGTGCAACCTCTCCAGGGAACCTACTGGTATGTGCCCAGTGCTGAGGAATTGAAGTTACCCACCCTCAAGGAACGAAGGTAACTAAATTTTTATCTAGTGAGATTCGTTTAATGTCTTTAATGCTTAAGTATTTTCGGTTGCTTTCTATCTTAGTTACATCAATTTGTAAGAATCTGGCTGCACGTGTGAATTTCTCGACGACGGGTTCAGTTATTTTAAAGCAATACCTTTTTGTATTTTACAGGTTTGAAATCATAGATTTTTGGAATGTGAGAAGTCCTACAAACGACTACTTGTTTTACAATCAGAAGGAATATCTCCACCGTATGACAACTGGTGGTTATAGCCCAGGGGATCCGCCCAGTGACAGAGTACTCCGCCTGTTGGACTACGCCTTCCAACAGTGGAATGACCAATGGTTCAAACGGCGAGAGATGCCCAAATTTCCTCATCTCCTCGAATTCGTATCGGACGCAGAAACGAGCCGTTTACTACAGAATGCTTCCATCATGATCCGGAAGGGATGGGCAGTGAAAGTTTCCCTGGGAGGATTGTTCACCACAAATAAAACCGCCGAGCTGGAAAATCCAACCTTCTTTGGCAGAAAAGCTGACACATTCAACCTTCATCCTGATGAGCTCATTGTGGGAAGGATGCCGCCGTGCTTCTCCCTTGGGCTTGGAAAGGCCGTAATGCCTTACCTCCGGGAAAACGAAACGATGCCAGCTTTCTTCAAGGGACTGAGTGAAGCTGCAGGAATGGGACACGTGATACCAGATTTTGAAACGCTACTGCAGAAGGGTCTCGGCAAAATGATTGAAGAAATGAACGCCAACATGGGCGAAACCGAAAAGCAGAAAGAATTTGTCCGTTCCTGTATTCTCGCTTTGGAAGGAGTTCAGAAGTACATCAAGAACTTCGGTTACCTGGCAGAATACTTTGCTCACAACAGCGACTTTGCTTTATCTGAAGCCCAACGATCACACTTGAAGAAGGTAAGACTTAAATAGTATATGGTGCCATTTATTAAGGTAGTTAATGGCGTTTTTGGACAGCCCTATGTTGACATCATTTTTATTTGGGGGGGAAATGTGTCACTGTTTATCTTCACTTGAAGTATGACCACTTGCATTAGACATCATCTGCATGCATTCATCTAGGTACACTCTTCCAAGAGCTCTCCTTTCTCGCAAGGGCCTGTATCTCTCGGGAAGAGGTGCAATGTTTTATTATTGATAAGTATTTCTAAGCTATAGGAATATCTTGGACAGGACAGCGTTAAGCGCGGACAAGTGGTGTCTTTAGATCTTTCTTATTTGACCCCAAAGTCAAGAAAGAAAAGGCCTAGAGAATTACACCGCTGGGGGCCTTCAACTGAATGGTTACTTCGCGTGTCTTATTGGTGGATAATCTAGTGTTGTGAGTCATGTAACAATTCCCAGTAATATAATTTGATTACTGAAGTGAGAGAGGTTACGAGGGTTAATAGTCAGTGTACCATGGTAGATGAAGTTTCAGGATCAGGAGGTCCAAGTTTCAGTCTTGGTCAGGGCCACAGCTTATTGCTATTAGGCAAGACACTTGACTCTCACCGTGCTACATGTTTGTCAAAATGGGCACGTCTGTCAAACTACAATCGGACACAAATTTTCCGAAAGGGGTAGCCTACGCCTAATCAGTGATGTCTCAGTGTCTCGACAATCCGTGGAGAGCTAGTATTTTCTTTAGTTGTAGTTAAGCACTGACCTTAGTAAGCCGCCTAGTGAACAGACCTCGCCTTTAGGAGAACTAGCTATTGACGAAAAAATGATTTCTTTCCACAACAGATTAAAGATAGAATGAACAAGATCTCTACCGACCGACCAGAAACCTTCATTGAGGCTGTTCAACTGCTGTTCTCCTTCCACTGCTGCCTGCACCTGTCGGGGGAACCCACATCTATCGGACGACTTGATCAGCTCCTGGAACCTTTTTTCCAGGGACCCCCTACTGAGGAGGCCCAGGAGATTATCGACTGTCTCTTTGTCAAGCTGTGTGAACACGTGCATCTCAACTCACGGCTTTTGAATGATCTGGGTGCTTGGGGAATGACCGCTGTACCATATGCCAGCACGGGAATGTTTCCCAATGGCGATACTATCAACCAGTGGGTTCAGCAGGTGAGGAAAGTTCAATAATTTTATATACAGTTGCCAAGAATAAATCGTTTCCAAACATTGACGTTGATTGAGCCACTGCTTTGCTATATTTAAAAAAAATTAGCTATCGGTTTTGCATAGGGTATAAAATGTCAGTCTTTTAGAGTTTTGACGCAAACTTTTTCTGGGCAGCGGTCACTTTTACGTTCTAACATGCATAATGTTTGATTCCGTTTCATTATTCAAAAACCGTCTGAAGGCCCACGTTGTTTTGCAAATTAAATGCCAAAAATTCTGACACAAATATATAAAGCGAGATTTACTGGAATGTACCTGATACACAGTTAAAGTATAAACGCTTACCAGATAGATATTAGAGAGCTTTAGCAAACCATGACGGCGGCGCTAACGGAAACGGCTCCAAACAAAGGGTATGATGAACAAATTAATGGTTCTGCACGTGCATTTTGAATCTCTGCATATTTCTAAAGCCCCACCCGAACGATTGCAATATTTTAACGCAACATATCGACATGTTGGGTGTTGTTGTCTCAAGTTTGAAAATGGTCAAATTTGCGCCATCAACACCCTGGCCAACATGTCGCAACATGTCGCAACAGAGTGTGCAAACGCGCGTAACATGTTGCGCCTAACAGTGTTGCGATATGTTGCGTTGTAATGTTGCAATCATTTTGCCGGGGCTTTATCCGCCATCTGCAAAAGAGCAACGTGATATGACCGTGTTCTGCGTATTTTGGAGAACCTGAACCGCAGTGGCTAATTTTTCGTATCTTCTTGCGGAATTGAACGTTGCCATATCATATCTAGCCTGAGCAAGTTTTTAGACCGCTAAGCTTACTGAACAGCTACCCACAGTCGATACATTCGAACGTAAAAAGTAATCATTGCTTTTTTTTAACAAGGCGTCGTCCTCGGCGTCACCGTCGTCATTGCTAAAACTCCCTATACATGAGCGGCGAAATAACAAGACCACTTACTTATACTGAAATTCATTAATATATTGGTGACAGTATGTATTTCATCGGCTTAGATCACTGTGGGAGGTTACAAGGCCAACGATGCAGAGGTTCCACAAGATGCCTGCAACGCCATCACGAAAATGTGCTTAAAGGCCTCACGCAGGCTTCCCCTTAGTGCTCCATGTTTGTCCCTGCGAATGCATAAGAATATGCCGCAAGAGGTGAGCTTAAGAGAAAATAAGAAAGACAGGTCCCTCATTAATAAACCCTTTCAAATCTAATTTTTTTTTGAAATCTTTTATTAGTTTTCTCTCATATTGTTTTGCTATTTACGTCATTAGTTTGTTAGACCGTTACTTTAATGTAAGTGAAGACACATACAAGGAAACGGACTGAAAATAACTCAGGACAAGCTATTAGAATTTAAATGTTTACCATCATGCACGGGAACCTGCTCACTTCCCTCGATTTCTCTTGGTACGCCTAATTTAAGGGAGTTCTGACCTAAGGTCTCGCACTGGATTCAATTTCGCTCTACGATCGAAACACAGTTCTAGTTTCAAAAGAAAGTTTAATGACAGAGTTAATTTATTTACATAGTGTTATATGAATTGGAGCCGTTAATTATCCTTATTTTCTTGCTTTGTGTTAATGCCTCGTTAAGCGTAGGAAAAAAAGAGTTACACAGCCGTTGTTTCTGGCGAGGTAGCTTATTCTGGCGCCTGGTAGGAGACACCGAACCTTACAGCTACGGAATGTAACCATTACCTTTGATACAAACAGGTTCTTCAAGAGGCCGCTAAGGCTCTTCTCAGCGGAGGGGCCCATCCCGTCCTTCCTCACGACGACCACTTGATACAGGGCCTTGTTGAAGCGGGAACATCAGACGTGCCAGTGAGCCTAAAAACCGCGCGAAACTACGCCTGTGACGGTTGCTATGAACCAATCATTCCCGGCGAGACAGACTTCTCATTAGCTTACGTGCCTCTGTTGCAAGTGCTTGAGATGTCAATCAACCATGGGTCTACATATTCACTCGCTGGGCCTGGATTCTTGGAGGGGGTACCTCAGTCTCTGCCTACAGCTCATCCTGAGGAAATCGTCAGCTTTGAACAGGTATTAGCTTACCTCGATATCTTAAGTTTATGATATCTAAAATCAAGCCAACCATGGTATGCCCAATAGTTTCCAGATATTAGACATAATAAGCTTTCTAAAGTTATTTTGTAATCATAAAGGTGTACTGTTGATATCTTGCATGCTAACAAGTTAAAGCCTGCTAAGCAAAGTATTAGGAAATACCGCCTTTCAATATTTTTCCAGTTTGCGTCTTTTTTTTTTTTTTTTTTTTTTTNTATAGAGTTATGCGACTTTTAAGGGACTTAACGGTTTCATTATCTTTAATAAAGCCATTCTTGCGAAACTTGACATACTGCAGAGTTGTTAACTTTTTTTTTTTTTTTTCCGTCAAGATTTATGTACTGGACTGCCAAACGTTAAGAACTTCTCATGATTTAGCTGTACGTTTTTTTAAAGTTGCTTTATTTTTCATGCGTAAGAAATTGACTGACCTAAGATAACAATAATAAGATTTAATTAAAATCTAGTACTGCTGGTTTTGAAGATCCAGAATGGAAGGAAAATCAGGGAAAATATAGAACCATTAACAAACTCAACCCACAACATTGAGCATGCAATTAAGTAATTATACCTTACTTTATCGCACCCTGTCAAACTCCTTGAAGGCGAGGGTCTACTAATTACACCATTCCTTCATCATCAGCAAGTTATGTCGCTCACGTTATCACGTTGTTCCATTCTCAGCTCAAAGAGCTTTTTGCTCTTCATCTTCGTGTGCGGACAGAATATTCCATTTTCCTTCTACTCCTCAACTATGGCAACATCGTCGAGTTTTGTCCCAGTCCTCTGCTCTCTTCCCTCATTCGTGGCTGCCTGGAAACCAAACGGGATATTTACGACGGCGGCGCTAACTACACTTTGATTGGTATCCAGTTCATATCCTTCGCCAACACCGTCGACGCTCTGTACGCCATTAAGCGGCTTTGTTTTGATCATGACTCGGCTGTTATTTCCTTGGCCGAGCTTGTCCGCTGTCTCAAGTGTGACTGGGGATACAACATGCAAGAGCCCTTCCACGATGCGGTCGCGGGAACCACGCGTGGTCAGCGGCTGTCTGACACGTACAAGGAAGTACGTGAGAGGGCGCTGAGCCTACCGAAGTTTGGAACCAGCGCAGGTGCAGAAAACGAAGACGTTCAAAACATTACCAGGTTAGTTAAACAATAAACTTTGTAACGAGACAGTTTTCAGAGTGGATTTTTCAGCGCTCCAAGAGATTCAAAATTAAGCTAAACGTTTTGTTCTGAAAAGGACAGACGAGCTTACTTTCCCCATAGTTTGGGCGCATGCGCATACGATAAACTTCAGTTTCTGAAACATGAAGTGACCATATGAAGTGACCTCCTCACGATGGTTGCGATATTAGATTTTCGTAGGTTAACTGATCTGTTATAAACTGTTACCAAGGTTATCCTATGACAGCTAGCCTGTGCCCAAATCTAGTCTTTAAAATTCTAATTTATAATGTATCTTTCTTTCAGTTGGTTAGCTGAGCAAGTTTCAACGGTCACCAAAAAAGTGGCCCGCGATGCTCCAGATGGACAACCGCTGAAAGGACTGATTGACGGCTTGAAGAAAAAGTATTCTGTTCCCGGAGCACCATGGGATGTAATGCTGCCTACAGGATCCGGGACATTTGAAGGATACGTTGGTTGGGGAGGAGGATGTGCGGCATCTGCTGATGGTCGACGCTCTGGGTCGCCGATTGCTTCAGACTTGAGCGCTGCTCCAACTTCATTGGATAAACCTGCCATACCGAAGAGCTTCGATATCTACAAGTAAGCGTGAGAGAAATGTTGTTATGGTATAAATCTACTAGTCGTTCAAATGCAAAGAAGGGTCCACCATTTTGTCAACAACCACACACTGCTAGGCTACTAACTATCTACAAAAGGATAGAAAGGCATTCGTGATAGTGGTAGAACGCTAGTACACTTATACTAAAATACAAATGATCTGTATTGGTTGCTGCTGACTTCATACTGCAAATAGCAGATACAGGAGTTAGCCGCCCCCCTATCCCATATCCTTCTCTTGTTCCCCGCCCTGATTTAAGATACCATCTGTTTCCATGCATTTGTGTTCAAGGTCGCTTAAAAGCTGGAATATGAAGTCCATAAACGTTGGTTTTGCTAACGGTGCGGAGATTGATCTGAAAATTGACGAAACTTTCCAAGAAGACGACTTGGTAAAATTCCTGCAAAATTATGCTGAACAAAAGGAGGGCATTGGAGGAAATATCTTGACACGTGAGTAAACAAGCTTGACGCTTTATCAAATGTTCAGCCTTCTTAGGTAGTTCTGTTACGTGTAAAACGAATCAAAGTTTGTGTTTTGGTTTATACTGAAAAACGGACAAAGTTAACGAAAGATCTGAGTGGATCTTTTCTTTTTATTAGATGAAGCGGAAGATTTTCTTTTTATTAGATGAAATTTAGTTTGAATCGAACTGAGTGACAGAGATGATAGAAATAACATGTTGTGGAATTTTAATGCTGCAAAATGTACGTTGAATAGCCGACAGGACGGCATTGTTGCAAGTTACAGGAATACAAGAAGTCTGTGGCTCGAATTGTTTCGTGTAAAGTAAACCTAGAACTCAATTAGTTGTGACTGTCGCGTACGACGTGAAACATGTCGTATGACCTCGGTACATGTTTAAAACCCAACAACAAATTCAGGGGTGGATCCAGGAATTTACATGAGTGACTTGCGTCAACTTAATAATGGGATGGGGGTGGGGGGAATGCTCCCCCAAGAAAATTTGAAATTTAGTGCTCTCAAAATGCAATTTTCCTGCATTCTTAGAGGTTTGGAAACATTTGAGTGATTTCTGGAAATCACTTGTACTACTTTGGATCCACCCTGACAATCATGACATCAATCGAGTCCATCAACAATGTTAAATATCATAAGTTGTATGCAAATTGTAAAGCATCGCGAACTACAAAAATCGCATTCAACAAAGTCTGATTCTCCTATGTTTATGATTGTTATTTCTCCTACGTTAGTCACCTGCGCCAACCCAGACACCTTCGCTAAAGCTCAGCGGAATCCAGAGCAGTATGATCTCATCCGAGTACGCACAGGGGGCTGGAGCGAGTTTTACATTGCTTTCTTCACCGCCCATCAGAAACACCAGGAGAGGAGAATGTACTACCACACTACATGAAGTACAAAACGTTTACCTCTTAGGGCCATGAAGGAAAACAAAACTACCGTCAACACATTACTTACGATAGCACTTCGGAAGTTTTTAAATAATTTTTTTAACTCTAGGAATAGGTGTGCATGCATACAGTCTCTTCCGAACAAGTTACTGCTTTTTTTTAAAGGATAAAATAAAATAAACGCGTACAGTTAGTAATGACTTACTAATTTCACGAATTTTGAAATTTTTGTAATCTCTTAAGGTATGGCAGTTTTAAAACTAAAGCAATGATTGCACTCTAATTGTTAAGTGATTACCACACACATTAATTAACACACACTTAGAATACGTACAAATAACGCTGCTTACACCACTTATATACTTACAATGATAATATGGCTACTTAAATGAAATACTTTCAATACTAAGAGAGCATGCAGTTTTCAATTGAGAGTCGAAAGTAATCAGGCAATTCTCTATATATCTTTAAATTACTTTGGTTTTGATTTTACTACGGTTTGAAATTAGCTGAGTAGTCTAATTGGTAAGTAATTGGTTGGGTTTTGGTTTTACGGCACAGTCAATTGAAAGCCGCTCTATAACTACTTTAACTACTTACAGTACTACTTACAGACACTACTTGATAACGCTACTTACGATGCTGATAATATTCATCTACTTACACTACTTACAATACTTATATGGCTACTAACTATACTTGCAATACTCACACGACTAATTTTTCCCCTTCCCTCCATTTCTTGTTTAGTTTAGCAACTTAAACTGCAAGTTGGGCAGTAATTAGTATGTAGTTAACCTTGTCAACTTATGCAAGTTCACTTCTGTTCAACGATAGTCTTTTTTGAAGACTTAAAAAGCAAAAACTGAGACCTCTTTCTGTCAGGTGTAAATTATTACTCCTGATTTTGATTTCGTTGATTTCATTAAAACTCAAGCCACATTGTGGCTAAGTAATTCATTCTAATTTTCATTGTAATTTTCAAATTTAGATATTTAGCATTTTTCTCATTTTGTCTTTTTAATACCCGACTTAATAAGCTGCAAACTATCAAACCCTTTGGTAGTCTATAAAAGTAAAAGTTAACTACAAATTGTAGATGTTTTTTAAATTAGAGTCATAGTTTAAGTGGTTAGAAAATGTACCTTTTGACTGAATAAATCATACAATCGCTTGTTTTGTTTTGTTTTGGTTTGGTTTGTTTTTGCTGATTCCCAGACAATTTTGCGATTTTGTAGAATTCATGCGAAAACAAGTCTCCGGTTTAGTTTAAAGGGTTCATCCTAAGCCGAAAAGTGTTGTCCGGGTTTTGATGCTAGTGCGGAATACAATGATTATTACCATTTCATGCACCCCTTAGAAAACAGCATGGATTCTGTCCATGTTCGCGCCACGGCACTTCTCTTCAACATAGGGTTTCTATTTCTTACTCGTTGTTGTAAGATCGTGCTAAAATTGTGTTGTTTTCTTTGTACGTTTTTCTGTCTGTCCTAGCACGGCAAACTGTGTGTTCCTTGAGTGTTCCCACGCGAGTGTCCTCGTAAGATCCTGATGGGATCTTGGCCTAGTTGGATGTGGTATTTTAAGTCGCGCTCAAAGGATAGATAAAATTACTACTATCCGTCAATAGACCATTTTACAGTTGTCTGCTCAGTGACCTGGCCTTTGTATGGCAGCGAGGCTAGCGTTGACCTTGTTTTGATACAGACCTCACTGCTTTTGTCATGTAAATGCACCTAGTTAGCATCAGAACAACTTGTTTTACACAACAAAAG